ACACTACACACACACACACACACGCACACACACACACACACACACACACACACACACACATATATATATATATATATTGTATGCTCTTGGAATGTGCATGGAAACAACCGGATGATAGGACAATCAAATTTTACACACAAAAGATTAATACTTTTTCTAGGTTAACCCATACTATCTCAATTACGATTATAGTAGTGGCTCGACCGTGTACATTCACTCAGAGAACTCAACTATGCCCATAATTCATGCACCATCAAAGAAAGGGCTGAGATCATCAGTATTGCAGTTGAAAGCTTCAAACATGTGCACTAAACGTTAATATCAGGTGCTGAAAGTGCGCAAACAAATATAAGCATGCAGCACCAGACCAACCAAAAGGTCGGGAAACACTCCCATGTATATTATATACTACGGATACGGTACGAAGGTCGCCTGGGCAAACACACTGGGCATAAAGATAGCAGATGAACACAAGCAGAACTCACACATGTTCTTGATGGTAACCTCTTGCAAAGTGATACAATGCAACACACCTCACAGAACACCCCAGCACACCCTGGATATACCAGCGCGGTGTCTGAACGAACTCCAAATAAGAGTGCGAGCCAAACATATGTGCACGTTTAGGTTTATGATCTCATGACCGATACAACTCGGGATACTGCAGCGGAAATGCGGAACATGGATTAACTTACCACAACTATACTCGAGGCATCGTGCGCTCTCTGAAGGTCAGCGTCTGTGGTATTGAAAAGTCACAGGACGGAATGAGACAGCGTGCTTTATCTGGAGATATACATAGGACACAAGTATATATATAGACACACACACACACACACACGCACACACACACATATATATATATATATACTATATATATATACATATACATATACATGCACATTTACATATACATATACATATACATATACAAAAACACAAACATATACATATATATACTTGCATATACATATATACATACATACCGTTTATTTCATCACGTTTGGTACCCACAATGACCATAGGGACCAGTCCTGCATCGCCCACAAATTCTTCTAAGTCAATGAAGTCTGTGCTTGCTGCAGACAGCCGCGATGTCCTATACATTTGTGGGCGGAATGGTCACACGATTAGAGGCAAGTAAATAGTGCAGAAACAGCGAGTTAAGTGAAAGTAGAGGATAAAAATAGTTCGAAGAAACACGTGAGTGCGTGTTAGTATGGGTATGGGGGGGGGGGTATAGGCCTTATTGCTCGTAGGGCCTATACAACCGTCTGTTGTTTTCATACGAAGAGAGCTACACACGCAGCCCATACCCATGGCATAGAAATCTGGCCGAAAGATCTATGATAGGCACGGTTATAAACCAGTGTAAACCAGACTATTGTGTATGTAAGCATTTGTATATAAGCATTGGCATGGAATAAACTAGTGTGTGCAAGGCTACGTACGGGTGAGGAGAGAGCTACTCGTGGTATATGCCACCTTTCAAACCTATAGTAACGACAGCCAGTGCTATCTGTAAGGATGAGAGGCGACCCAGACAACAACAAACACACACGACGAAATGCCACAGATTCATCAGTGTGGCGATGCTTCTAATTCGCATTTATCTGACCAACTAAGTTTAGGTTGTAATACTCGGGGGGCGGTCCTATGACTTCGTTCGCCCATACCAGTGCCATGTCGTATTCATACTCGCATATAGTCACGTTTTGACCTTGAGCCTAATTGCAACGGTGCCAATAGGGTTACCTACGCTTGTATACCCACATCTGTACCTACGTTTGTATACCCACATGTATGCGTTTGCGTATACCTGATCTCGCCTACTTACGTTTGTATACCCACATTCATACCTACGCTTGTATACCCACATTTATACCCACGCTTAAATACCCATATGTATGCGTTTGCGTATACCTAGTCTCGCCTACCTACCTCGTGATAGGCACCTCACTTTCCGAATCCGTCAGGTTATCATCCGATAGCATGGGAACGATCTCGTTGATCCACTTGTTGAGATTGCTGTACGATTTGCGATTGGTCAGATCGTGCACCAGAATGATACCTGGTGTAGGACAATTAAAGAGGACCAGTTCAGGATCAGTATAGCAAAAGGAAAGGCTCGGGACTATACGATACGTTCTACGCATGCTATTCAAACATGCTAATTTTATAGTACACTGTGGTATACACAACTTAGGCGAGCCATATACAGATTGAGGAACGGCCATGTATATCAACATTAACTGTCCAAAAGGGACTAATTCCAAGTCACAGAGAGCGAGCACAAAAGCAACGCGTATCCAGGCTACGGTCCGTGAAGGACTAATAACAAACCATGCATTGTGAGCACCGCAGCCAAGTGCACTTAACAATGCGTTACGCTACGACAAGGACTGGCGCAAGCAACACACATGATGCAAATCAATAGAACACAATACACAACAGTAGACGATACACTAACGCAGGGGTTAAAGCGCATAAAAAACATCAAACGCATACAGAACTAAGGAAAGGTGCCATGCATATATCTCACCTTGCTCATGAAGTAGACAACGATATATATCATAGCGATACGAATACGTGCACAGTACAAGGCGAGAGTGAAGTGAAGAGTAAAATGAAAAACACAGTAACCGGTACATTATCTATCTAATAATATACAACTGTGTATTATATATATGTATATATATATATAGACATTAATTTTATATATATACATACATACATACATACATACATACATAC